TGACAGGGTGCCTGTGCCTCTGAACACAAGGTGAGGGGGTGGCCACCGAATCCCTGTTGCCATTCTGATAGAGACAAACCCCCGTTTTACTGCTGATCACGTGAATACATAAGCAGAGGTTGCCCAGACAACAAGCCTGTCAAGGGTTTCATTCAGGAGCAAGCCTCTCTGTCCAGCCAGAGTGGGGGATGGGGGACTTTATGGAGAATTTCTATGAAACCCTTGTGAAAGGCAAGACATCAGTTTAAGTGGCTTTGGGACCTTGCTGGGCTGCTGTGACCAGAAAAGGTCACTGGGCAGGGAGAGGCTGCTCCTCTATTCCTCCCAGCCCCACCTGCTCTGGGTACTATTGTTCAGCATCCCAGTGCAAAAAGTATTTTTAAATGTACCAGGTGAGTAGAACAATTGCTATTTGGAAATAGTCTGTTTTCCTGTGAAAAGCTGCCTGGGAACGCTGCTTTATTCTTCTGATCTTTCCCAGGAAATCAAAGCTGTTGGCATCACGCAGGCCCTGGGGCGATGCACTTTATCCAGCCCCACTCTTTTTTTCCTGGGGTTTCCATTGCTGTCCTGGCCATCAGCAGGCCTGACAGATATTTGTGAATGGTTGGTTAGAAGCAAGCAGGTGCTTATCTGGAGGGCCATATCTTCCCTGGTCCATCACTTTCAGAGGAGGCTATAGGCCAGGGTTGTTTAGCATTCCTGATTAAAGGGGACTCTTCCTCTGCTGCAAACACTTCCAGCTAGCAGATACTGACTCCTGATGGCAGCAGTCACCTGGGCACTGAGGGGAGGCTGGAGCTGTCCACGGATGACAGTGCTGAAAGCCATCTTCCGTACAACCCGAGTGCTGGGATAGAACAGCAGAATGACAAGGGACTAGATGCACTCCGAGAAACAGCAGAGTCTAGCAAGATGCTCTGGAGTTTGGGGCTCACAGCAGTAAGTTGGAGCCCCAGCTTCATCCTTCCATCTTGGCTGCATGGAATCATCTTGGTTGCTCTGTCATACGCACATATCATATTCCCACCGAACTGCTTGCTTTTTGGATACAGCACACTGAGACAGACAACCTCTTGCAGAATCTTCTGTTCTCAGAGCTCCAGGACTCTGGGCTCCAGAATGAGCCAGCTCCTCTATGATGTGGCAGAAGGCCTGGCATGAAGCACCAGCCTCTGATCCTTGAGGATTCCCTGCTTCCTGGGAATATGGACTTAGTCCAGGGTCCCTCTCTTCAGGCCAGTTCTGCCCAGAGTCTGGTTTAAAGACATAAGCAGGACTTACTCCCACATCAGCTGACCTGGTAAGGGGACCTGTGGGAAGTGGGGCAGTCCTCTGTGTGTGTGTGTGTGTGTGTGTGTGTGTGTGTGTGTGTGTGTGTGCATGTGTGTGCGTGCGCGCGTGCGCACACATGCATGTTCTTGTGTGCATATGTGAACACACATACAGGAGTTCACGTTGCTGAGGAGATAGGAAAATCACCCCAGGGCTGTCACATGGCCAGCTCTACTGCCAGGATTAAATTAGCATCTAGGTAGACATGAGAAGGATAGTTTCTGCTCCCTCCTCCCTCCCTCCCTCTGCCTCTTACTCTTTCCCTCCTGTCCCCTCCCTTTCTTCTCTCCTTCCTCCTCCCCTCCCCTTCTTATCTCCTTCCTATCCCCTCCCTCCCTTCCCCCTTCTCTCCCTCTCTACTCATCTCCCTTATTCCCGCCCCTTCTCTGCCCTCCATTCCCTCTTTCCTTTTCTTCTTCCTTCCTCCTCCTCCTTCCTCATTTCCCTCCCCCTTTGCCCCTCTGAATTCTTCCTTCTTTCTCTTGGTCTTCCTCTCCCCACCATTCATCTTCATTCTCTCTCCCTCTCTTCCTTTGCTCTTTCCTCCCTCTTCCTTTCTCCTCTCTCTCCTACCCTTTCTTCCTTTAATATCTCTCTTCTTGCCCTTCCTTTCCCCTCCTCCTCTACATCAGATAGCCTGGTGGCTTACTTATTGCAAATGCTTTTTTCCTAAACCAAATAAATTTTCCTCGCTTCTCTCAATTCCCATTAATTGTGATTTATGTGAACTGAAAAGTCTTCCATAGCAGCCTGGATGTTTGGAAGCTCTAAATCTTA